TCACATATAGTACATATATATGCGTTGCAAGTTATTAACGCAACCGCTGACATGAAAAAATATATCACGGGAGAGGGTATCACACATCGCCCGGGACAAATTGCTAACCATCTTGCAAAAACAGCTCTCACAATCTCCGAGTTATGTTGCCATTGGCAGCTTGATTTGTTAACTTCAATGTTTATTGTGTAGTTCCAGAAAATATCCATACCCCCACCACGGAGGATTTCGGAAATTCCGAGGGGGTTGGGGGCTAAAGTAGCTTGGAAATTCCCTGGGGGTGGGGGGTTAATCTGCAATCGATCTACAAAAAATCGATATGCGTAGATATGCGTTATTACCGTTTTCCTGACTCGCTGGTCGCTCTTTAAATAAGTTATTTTGACGTGAATTTAAATGAAGATTGTGCTTCAAACAGGCAGCTTCTACACAAAATGGGTTTTCTTTCGATTGAAGAAAGAAAATAAAAGTGACAACTGTCAGTAGAATGACTACCGCGCTATAAAAATTCACGTACACATTTTTACAAGTCTGCGAAACTAAAACTCAATACATGTACTTGTATTTAAAAAGAAAGAAAGGTTGATGATAGAAAAAAGCAAAAGAATCCTTCTTTATTGAATAAGTGTATAAATAAGATTCTAGATTCATTTGTTAGTCAAAACATGTGGCGTGGTTGTTTACACTCAAGTGACGGTTCGATAATCGGCAAAGATTTATGACCACAAAGAAGCTTGAGCTTTAGGTAAAACACCAAAATCGAACATTTAAGATTTAATATGCTGAAAAAATACATATTTAGGAGGAAAAGATCGATTTCTAGATCGTGAAAGAAGTGCAAATTTTTACATAAACAGTAAGGAAACTACTTTCCGGCCGATAGTTCTTCGAGATTGTACTTAGAATTCGCAAAGTTCATGTGGTGCTAGACTTCGTTGTTCGATCTCCGCAGTTTTCGTTTGTTATTTGTCCTCTGTTCTTCTGATACTCAAAAACATTTGATTTTAAATTGCCAGACGTATTTAATGCGTAACTTGTATTGACGGAAATTCCGCGGGGGTTGAGGGTAATACCTGCCTTTTTATCGGAAATTCTGGAGGGGTGGGGGGTGGGGGAAGAGTTGCAAAAAAATCGGTCAAAAATCGGAAATTCCGGTGGGGCCGGGGGGTCATAAATGAAATATCCTCCGTGGTGGGGGTATGGATATTTTCTGGAACTACACATTCTGAATCTGGTATACAAGGGCCAAAATCTGGAGATTCCCAGGAAAAATGACACCTATGACTTACATTAATGCATCCATTTGTACATTCAAGTAATAACCTACATGTAACTTACTTTGAAAATAAAACAATATAACTTAAGTAATAAGTTCATTAAGCTTACTGTCACTATAAGCTTAAGTTCTTTATGGCCCTATGGATATTATATTTTATCTTAAGGTTTACAGTGTCTGTTTCAAAAGAGCTGCCATACAAATTTCTATTGTGCCAGGAAGTGAAGAAATATTTAATGATATATTTTAGTTGGATATATTGACTGCACTGAGTTGTTTATAATAAATTTAGACTCAAGCTTAAGTTACTTACCTTTTTCTTCTCGTTTCTGGCCCTACGTATTTCTTCAAGCCTCTTTCTTTTTCTTTCAAGCTCGGCCTTTCGATCAGACATCTCGGAAGAAGCCTTGAATCGATTCAATCGTACTTTTTGCGTAGGTATAACGAGAAAACAACCAACAACACATCAGCTGCAAATCCAATATGGCGGTGTGATSAAGGGCGTCTTACTAGTTCCCATTCTCTCTCGGCTAAGCCTAAAGATAAAAATGAAATTACATAAAAAGAATAAATAGAAAAATGAAAAACTCTATATTCGTCGTGTATAACAGTAGATGATTATATATCTACATGTAATACGTGATCTCTACATCTTGTTCGGATTATTGAAAGCTATATTAGCGTCCATCCAGTGTTAACTTCAAAAGTATTTTAAGAGTTAACGTGGAATTTTATGGGAGGTTGTATCGGCACACACACACTAAAGTTCAAGCCGTACATTTTCAATTTAAAAAGGCTAAAATATTTTTGGGTGTTACCATTTAAAAGGTCTTCTGTTGGCTCCTGTTAAAGATGAATTTGCTGTAAATCAGTTTAGCATATTACCCCATATTACTGATCCTTGAAGTCTATAAGATGCACGAAAAAATATGCTAGTAATTGTCMTTTTTGTGTACCCTTCCCTTTAAAGTTCGATTCTCTTTGTCTACGTGTACAGGCAACTCTCGCCTTACGGACACCCCGCTACAACGGACACCTGGATATTGCGGACAGTAAAATACTGAATCCCCGGCACTAAATACAAAGAAATGACTGAAAGTAACTCTCGTTTCTACGGACTCTCGCTCCTGCGGAAATTAAATTACGGACACCGTAGTGCACCCAGTGTCCTGGAAATTGCCAAATCCCAACAGCATGGCATTCAACTCATGTTACTAACTGCAGTAGGGAAAAATCGCGAGTCGCGAGAGGTCGACAAAGGTGTTTATCGGGGTGCTCACTGGTATGAGCTGGAAGTGCTTGACACAAATTGGTTAGTACGTACCTTCCTTTTTTATTTTTGATTGTGCATTTCACTGAACTATGTGTGTTCTGAAAGCCGTGGGGATTCCCCAATAAAAAAGGGTCGGTGTCCTCTTCGTCCCCTTTAGAAATTTGGTTTGAAATCAGTGTTTTGGTCCCGCTTATGGTGATAATGACRGGAATTCCAACCAACTGAGTTTTGTGGTCCCTTTTAGGGTATACTCGGTGACGACCCAAAAGCCGTCATTATAAGATCAACAACAACCACAATTGCTAATTAGATGATTGATCTCAATACGAGCCGACGGCGTTTGATGCTTGTGCAAAAACACAAATAAAATCGGGAACCAAAACAAAATGATCTGTTATTGATTGGTACCTCTTAGGGGTGAAATTTCASCACTTATACGCCCATCATCTCACGATGCAGGTCCCTTTTAAGGGGTCATTTTCATAAGAATTTCCGACCCTTTTTTATTAGGGAGTCCCCCCCCCCGGGTCTAAAAGATCAGGAGGACCCAAGAGGAATCGACCAGGTCTGTTCTTTTRAATAATTTTCTCCTGGGAAAGTGATTTATGACTAACATTTTAAATTGGGAAAAACTCTCCTTTGCGACCAATAAAGCACTTGAGTATTTCAGAGATATTGGGGATTTTMCTTCCTGCAAAGGTCGTGAAGTGTTTCCTGGGGAAAATTACTAGAGCCTATTCCTCTCCATGATTAAAAAAAATTCGGCATGTATTATAACTTTGCTGGCAGCCAGTTGTGACTTACAGCTGGCTGGGACATAAGAACAGATACATTTCTCCCAGGAACCTATTGGCTCGTTTCGAAATATCTCCAGGTCCTCCAGGTCTTCTCAAATAATGTATATTTACACACGTGGACTAAGTTCCATACTCATCCGTAGAGGATTATGGGATATGTAACCTCTCCCCTTCGATCATATCATACTATACAAGGCTATCTGACAGTGCTTTGCTGTTCGGCTCTGGGCCTTTTGTAGGGCTTTATTCCTTCTGTCATCTATATTTCGCCCTACTGACATCGCCAGAAGTTCCTAGTGTTATTTTAGTGAAGAATACCTTCAAAATGAATCCTCAATGTGCAAGATGTAAGAAGACCGTCTATCCCATGGAAAAATTGAATTGTCTCGACCAGGCAAGTAYCTTTTATATTCATTCTTTGCACAATTGATTGAGTTTTTTTCTTACTCTTTTTTGCACGTTTTCCGTAGTTCTGGCACAAGTCTTGTTTTAAATGTGAAGTTTGTGGGATGACTCTGAATATGAAGAATTACAAGGGTTATAACAAGAAGCCCTACTGTCAAGCGTAAGTACCAATCAAATCCAGCCAGAATACTTTGAGTAAGATCACTGGACCTCACAAGTTCTTAAATAAGTGTCTCACACTCAAAATCTAATTTTAACCWAGTTTCGGTGGATTTTTGATAAATTCAGTGTTTGCAGATCTTGCTACAATGAAGGTGATCAAGTGTGTACGTAAGTGAGAGTTTTGCGAATTCTAGTACACATGTAGTCTAGTTCACTGTACCTTTATTTAAGCCTTGACATTATCGCAGTGCATACAATCAAATATCATTYTGCTGTCTCGTGTACAAAACAGTTGTAATCAGTCAATTTACGTTTATACTTAAATAGTAGTAGAAAGATTAGAGATCCGCCTGGCCTTATCAGCTGAAACGCTGCAAGAAGAAAAAACTTTAAGAATAACGTTGAATATCTAGCAAAATATCAAGGAAAATAACATCGTATAAAATTGATTTTTGCAGTATCTGTATCTTTCTTTACTAAACAAAGTAGAATGCCAAAAATGGAATTGTTTAATGATTCCATTGCAACCAGCTGGACGCTCCCTCGTCRTTCTACAACAGACAGACATTCCATCAGACTGTTCTTTCAATTCAACGTAAGCTTATAGTTTACGTCTTTCCGCTCCAGCTCTGTTGTCACAATAAGTTCAAATTATCAGAGTGAAAGTATATCTGCTGTCCTCAAATGGCACTGACATAATCATCTGAAAAATTGTCATATCGCGTGCATAAACAATAAAGATCGAGTATTCGAAGAATGAAGTCATTTTAAATTCATACGTGCACAGATCCATTCCTTGTACCAGAACCGGAAGTTCGAGTTTTGTATTGCAGTGTAGCTATTTGACCCTACCTGCAACTGACCTATGCATCGAATCGTACTGCTCAATTTAGGATTTTCTCATGATTATTTGGACAAACGTCCATTGAATAAACCCATGCAAAATTCATATTACAGGTGTAAAACTACTAGCCAGTTTGTGGTACAAATCACTTATAAATCGAGAAAATGTGTTTGTTGTAATTGATATGTAGCAAATCCAAATCTTGAAATGAAACGAATTCATTGTGATTTTTTTTTAAATGTTTGGCTATCAATGTTGTTTGTTTGTTAGAAACTATTTACATGTAGAAAGTCGCAAGAGTTAATAAGCTTATAAAGTTACATACAAGTTGAGTAGTTTGCACAAGAAAGGCTTTGTGGGTTTTATGTTTCATTGTTTAAGTAAAGAAAATTTAAAGGGTATACATTACATGTGCAACGGTACATGTACATACATTCAAAATAACACAGAGATAGAAAGTTACAAGATGGTATTTTATCATACATTCTGCTCTAAATATTAGTATCTATATAATATATRTAACACAGCAATTTGCAATATTTTTGTTCCCCTTCAATCTGCTATATTTCAAATATATTAAAATGAACCTCCAAATTATGGGATATCATAGCTGAAATGTTTTTTGAGTTAGTTAGCATGAGAAATTCTAAAAAAATATCAGTGACAGCACCACATAATTTCTAATGGGGTCAGAAATATTGTGGATGGCTGTTTATGATATATAGTATATCATAATCTATCTATACCTAATCTACCCTAATCTATAGTATATCATAAAATATCATAATCTTTAATGGGATCAGCCACTTCCTCATACGATTATAGTATATCATATAATTGTTATCAATTGCAATAAAGGGTTGTGG